AACACATGTGCTCTTGGCAACAGCTAAGTAAACCTGAAAAAAAAAAAAAAAAACCACTAACTAACAAACCACAAACAGACCTGAATTTTTTTGGTACTGTGGATCAACAGCAAAATTCCAGAGACACCTGGGGTCCTTAAAGAAATTACTTGGAATACTTGTGCCTCTCAAAAAAAACAGCATTTAAGATACTGGAGAAATCATGTTTTTACAGAAGGATTAGAGTATTAAATTTTGCTTTCCAAAGCAAAGCCCAACAGCAAGAAAACTTTCATTACAAATTCCAGTTTTCCAATTCATTAAACTTGACTAACTCAGTTATCACTGTCAGGTTTGAGCTGCAATCAGTCCAAACACAAGAGACTCAGCAGATTAAGTATCTGAATCAATACCATGGGAATGATCAGGCTAGACTTTTCTCTAACACTAAGACCATAGTGACTCTTCCAGTACCCCAACTCATCAAGGTACTTTCAGGCATCAAAAGGAAGGGAATGTTTTTATCTGCTGTGCTTTTGTGTACAGGAGACTCCATGTATTTGTAGTCCTCCTTCACATGCACACAAGTCAGATAGTCAAGGCAGCTATCTTGCAGTGTTTCCCCCAGTTTGAACCCATTTGGATTTAAAAAAAAAAAAAAAAAAGCAAAATTAGTGCCTTCTGCATTACCCAAACCACAGTACATCTGACAAAGCAAAACTACGCACAGCTATAACTTTTTTGTCCCTCTCACATCGCTTAAAAAGCAATATAGGAGGCGCTGTCTATATTCAGGACTCAGAACTCTTCTTGCTCTTATAAGCAAGATGCAAAACAATTAGGCTCTAAAACCAGGTTCCATTTCCTCCCACCCTACCACCCCCCACTGTTTTCTGCAATTGGGCAAATTTTCAAAAACATGAGTGGAGCACACCACAATCTCACAGACACCTTCTGGAAGGCAGGAGATCATTTCAGTCTCTTGTTGATTATTTTGACTATGGCACTACCACCTAAAGACCTTTTTTATTTTTCAGTACAAGACAATTTTTAAGAGATTGTTCCTACCGAACCAGATACTCAGATAAAGCAATTTTTACACTTCTGTACAATGAACAGGCAGAATATCAGCCACCCATTTGCTTCTGCATTTCTGACTGCCCAGGGTCTCCCAGGTCAGTATGCAAATGTTCACAGCACGTTCGCTGAATCTCATTCTTCTCCTGTGCAGGTTAAGGAGCCTAGGCACCTACTTCTGAATGTGCATTTCCCTTCTGAGAAACAGGCACTGCCCAACCTGACGTGCAGATATAGTTTCCCATCTTCCTAGCTCAAGAACACTGGGGAACACACCTTCTGTATCACTGCAAAGTGTTCAAATGCTGGGGAGAACATCACTTAATGCTCCACCACAGCTTTTCAGCTTTCCTGCTTCAGTCTAAACACCTACCCTGGTTTTCTATTTCAGACAAATATAGTTATTAAGCTGCAGGAGGAAAATTAACTTCTTAGTCTTAACATCTCAACTTTAGGCCCACTTATGCAAGTATTAAGGAAGACATAAATTTCAAGAGGTCTGTAACACCCACTCTGTACTGAAAAAGTTTTCTAGAAGGCTTACAAGTCTGCAAGGCTAGACTTTTTTTCAAGAAAGGAACAAAAACATTAAAGACAGTGCTTATTTTTCAATATTTAATTTTAATAATTTAACATTAAATGTAAGTCAACTTTATGTAAGCCAACTTTATTATTTACTATAATAAAATATCATTTTAATTTTGTTCCTTAATTTCAATTGTTGTTATTCCAAGAGCCAAAAACTGCATTTCCTCAACTTACAAAGTCAGAGCACAAGACGCTTTCCACAGAAAACTTCTGTAAAATAAAACAGAATGCATGCTCGCCTCTTAACTAATTGACACGTGTCTAAAGTGCTTCAGATCAGTAACATGTGAGAGTACTGTTAATGTCTTGAAAGTTTTGTAAATACCATTAACTTCACTGGTGAGTTTTGTGACAGTGGTTGCAGCAGTAAATCTGCACATCAAAATGCAGGGTTTGGCAACAGTCAAGCCCATTCTTGACATAATTTTCAGTGTCACTATGCCCCACTCTCAATTAAACACTTAGACTAACCTTTAGGCCAGCGGGGGCAGGGGGAATAAAGGTTTCTGCGAGGAGAAGCGTGCATTGTAACCCATAACGCAAGACAGCGGATGCCTAAAGATGCAGTTGTGGAAGAAGCGAGAGCACACCTGCTCCCCTCCCGCAGCTTCTCCCCCGATCCCCCAGGATGTCGCTGCCCGGGGGCAGGGTTGCGGGCGCGCACCCTGGCCGGGGGAGCCGCCCTTCCCCTCGGGGGTGTTGCCGAGAGCCCCAGCAGGCTCCGGCCCGGCCCGGCCCTGCAGAGGGGTCTCGCTGCTGCGGCCCCGGGCTCGGACACCGACGGCCGGAGCGGCGGCGCCGGCAGCGAGAGCCCCCGGCCGGACCCCCCTGCGCCCGGGCTGCAGCCGGGGAAGGCCCGAGGCGGAGCGGGCAGGAAGCCGCCCCGACCCCGTTCCCGGCCGCCTCTCACCTGTCTTGAAGACCAGCTGCTTGTCGTCGCTGCTGCCGAAGAGCTGGAGCATGGAGACGAAGAGGACCCCGCACGAGTTCTGAATGCCGAAGACGGCGCCGTTGCACCACATGGAGGCCAGCATCACCACCCAGCCCCAGCCGCCCTCGGGGGGCTCCGGCACCGCAGCGGTCCCGGGGCGGCTCGGGCTCCTGGGGGCCTCCTCCGCCCACGGCTGGGCCCCGCTCTCGCCGTCCCCGGGGCACCACTCGCCGCCGCTCTCCCGCCGCGGCTCCTCGGCCGCCGGCGGGCCGGGCAGGGGGGACGCGGCGGCGGGGTCTGCCCCCGCGCCCTGCGGCTCCAGCTGCTCGCTCACCGGCGCCATCCCCGGAGCGGGCGAGAGACCCTGCAGGCGCGCCGCTCCCGCCTTCCTTCTCCTCCTTCTCCTCGCGACCTCTCGTCCCCCGCCCGCTTCAGCCCCTGGTCGCAGGGGCTGCGGGCATCCTGCGGCGTTCCTTCTGTCTGTCCGCCCGCCGGCGTGCGGGACCGAGGGTAGCCAACACACACCCCCTCTTGCGCCGCGCCGCCGCCGCTTTATTTTGAAAGGGGGGCTCCCTCGGGGGCGTCAGCGACAAGAGCGCTTCCCCCCGCGCCGATTGGCCGCGGGAGGGGAGGAGGGAGGGAGGGGGCCGGGGACAGGCAGGCGAAGCCACGCTCCTCTCCGGCCCCCCCACCCGCCCGCTCTCCGGTGGAGGGGGTGGAGCGGGGCGGGCACGGTGCGGCGGCCGCCCGGGGAGGGGGAGGCTGAAGTCAGCGGTTGAGGGCCGCCGGGAAGGGGGGGAGGCGGGCGAGCCCCGAGCCGGCACGGCGGCACCGCGCACCGCCCTCGGCGGGCAGAGCGGTAAACAAGCCCCTGGCCCCGCTCCCCACGGGGCAGGGCAGCTGCGCCCCGCGCTGTCCCGCCCGAGCTGGGCCGGGGGGGAAAGTCTGAAACTCCCGCCCCGCCCGTTTGCAAACAACCGCTGAAGAGCTAAAGAGAAGCCGCCCCAAAAGGCTCGCCCCCGCCGCACACCCGCACTCGCCGGCTCGCGGCCCTGCCCAGCGCTCTCCGGCCTTTGCGGAGCTGCCGCGCCCCGCGGCAAGCGCTGCCCGCCCCGGCACGGAGGCGCCCGGCTCCAGGGCCCTCGGGGCGGCCGCTGTCCGCCTCCCCTTGGGACACCCTGTGCCAGGGGAGACCCTGCGGGAGCTGCTTCTGCCCAGTTGTCTTTCCTGCTTTTCAACTAAGGAAGAGAAAGTACTTGCTCCTACACACCTCTTGACATGTTTCCCATTTGCACAGAGGCATCAGCTCTTGACATTCTGCACCAAGTCTTTGTCCAGAAGCTGTTTCCTAAATCTGTTGAGCTTTCTTACAAAAATTAAAGCTTCCTCCACCACAACATTATATTTTTTGAACAGTTACGACAGAGCAAACAAACCTTTTTTGGTTTCAGATTCAATCTTCATTGCATGTGTTAGCAACGATTAACTTAAACTTTCTGTTGCATAGAAATAAACAAGGACAAAATCCAAGACTGGATCTTAATGTGACTGATCCAAGGGTATATTTCTAACTCTTTACTGAGACTCCCCACAAGGAGGTCCTGAATGGAAGCCTGTGAACTGAATGATGGAAAGTCAAATCAGCTTGAGGGAAGTGCCATGTATTTTTTCCATTTTGGACAGTGTTCAGTTAAGCTCAAGACTAATGCCCCTCTACATATTTTTTTCAAGGTAATATTTATATACTGCAGTTTCATTTGCGTGTTTCCTATAAACACTACTGTGACTCCCCAGTTTTTAAGATAAAGGTTGTGTCTTTAAGAAAACCCATTGTGAACATATTGTGTGTAGCTTCCACTTTCATGCATTTCTTAAAAAAATATTCTATTTTCCAGTCATTAAGTTTCTTATACCCTGATTAGTATGACCAAATTATTTTCCCTTTCTCCTCACATTTGAGAATGCACAGTCAGAAAATCATATTTTCCAGTACATGCAGTTTTTGTAAAAGTGATGTCTATAACTATTCTGAATGTTTCTTCAATATGCTGTACCTTGTTGTCTATTGCTGTTTAGCTAAACTAAAAAAAAAAATGTTGTTTTTTTTTTTTAAAAAAAAAATAAGCTCGTGGGGTCTTCCTTTACAGACCTTAACTAGGTATCTAGAGAAACTTTGTACCTCTTTGGTACATTCTGCTCTTCTCAACAGCTAAGCCTCTTCCCTTTTGAGAGAGGTCTCTCGAGATCTCAGCCGTGTCCCTAGTAGTTCCCAAGAACAAGAACAATAAAATCTCACTCTTCATAGTCAGGTAATTTCCATAGAAGATGTACTTTTCAATCAGAATATGGGCAGGTTTGACTGCAGTTTGATTTCTGAAGTTTTTGATTTCTGTTTTTTTGTAACCCAAAGATTCGCAATAAAAGCACTGTTGTTTAAATTACTGCTATCAAAGAATTTTAGAAGTATTATTTTTTTTTAAATATTTTTAAATTATTATTAAAAATTATTATTTAAAATTATCAAAAATTATTATTAAAAAATATTATTAAATTTTTTTTTAAAAAAATAATACTAACTCTGGAATAGTATGTGAAAATAAAGCCACCTTTTTAACTCTGCTCTTTGAGCCATGTATGTTCACAAGAAAAACAGTTGAAGAGGAAAAAGAAGGAAGATGAACATGAGATAATTACCATAAACAGTGAAAAGAGGTTACATAGAAGATATACCTTGTATATAGATAACTGCATATGTTTGTTTCAGCTAAATTGTTGTTATAAACAAAAAGAAAAAAATTATAAAACCAACAGCAAAAAAGAGAGAAAAGTGGAAAAGTGGAAAAAAACGAGAGTATGGATAAGCTGAGAAATGTGATGTGAGGAAAGCCTTGGGTTTGTCCAAGATTCCTTCCTGTTTATGGTAATGTGTTTATTTTACATGTTTTATTAATACCCTACAGCTGATAACAAACAGCAATTGTGCACGCAAAAGACATAATGCTCTGCAAACATCTGCTATGGTGGTACTTAGGCTGTGCCTATTTTAGAATCAATACATAAAAGACAATGCCAAAGGTGGAATTTGCCCTATCATTTGTGGTCTTTCAAAAGCCCCAGGGGCCAGGAAATGGCATCTTCTGCAACCCTATCTGAAATTCTAGCCAGCTCCCCATTAAACATTGACTCCCTCTCTCACAAGCTATTGAAAATAGACCAAGACTTCAGTAGCTCTCACATGCAGCATTTTCTGTGACCATAAAGAGTATTTAAATTGCCTATGACATTAAAAAAATTACCTATATTGTTGAAGCATGCTGTTAGTGACACACCAAGACAGCTCTTCCATAAACCATTTTATTTTTAAAGCTTTTCCAAGTCATGTAGTATTCCACAAAAGTAAAGTGCATAGAATGCCAAGCCTGAAGAGTACATGTTCAGAGAGATTCATTCTCCCTTCTGTTGATCTGATTAGAATTTGTACTGTAATCAATGAAAACAGCATGCCAACATCATCATAGAGAAAAAAAAAAAAAAAAAAAAAAAACCAAAAAAAAAAAAAAAAAAAAAAAAAAAAAAAACAGGTCTCCAGTAAAATGCCTAACTTTACCACAGATTTTCAAGAAGAAGTACAGTAGAAGCAAATCCAAGAAAGAAAGGAAGTATACAGAGAGGACATGAGGCTAATATAAAATCTTTTGGCCAGTTAGACTAATGCATGATATTAATGATTAAGCCTTTCTGTTCTTTAATTTTCAACTAGTATTATTAAGACACCTATTCAGCAAAAGGATTTGGACTTAGGTCAGAAAGATGAGATAAACAGGATAACCATTAAAACGCAAAAACATATGGTATCACCAACTGCGTGAAGATCAACATTAGATTAAATCCTATTCAGTAACCAGTGTTTATGCATCTCTCAGCCAGACAGGATGTTCTCCTGATGTTTCAGACTGGGCTCCAGCTGAGTCTTATGAACTACCAGGGCTGCATCTGACTGCTGAGCAGACGAGTCACATATTCAAAGGCAAAACTACAGATTTTACTTGTTTACTGAGGGGAGTGTTGAAAGTGTCTAACCCAAATTTGATAATACCTACAGTACACGTTTTTAGACTGCTATTAGTTGTCAAGATATAGGTTCCCTCCTAATTCCACAACCAGTATGAGAAAGGGAAAGAAAGTAGACTACATGTCTAACTAGTGAAGCTAAGGTAAAGCAACACATCCACACTTCTGCATTTCTTTAAAACACCAATTCCAGACTTAACATTTTCCTCCCTTAAGTTCACCTTATGGCTCAGGTCTGGCTCCTTTGCAAATTAAACTCAGGTTTAGTTTAACATTCAGTGAAGAGTGGATGGGACTTGACCAGCTGTTGTCTGGAATATGGTTGACACATAACTGCTACTATTAAGGGTGGGCAAGTGAAAGAAAGTGGCACTACTGGTCAAAGACCCCTGCCCTTGCCAATCCCCAGCTGCACAAACCTAAATTTTTGATGTCAGACTTTTAGTGCAGGATTTTTCTAGCCTACCTTGTCACTGTCTCCACTGTGAACATCTGATCAGGGATGTCATCCATGGAGTGCTGGTAGGTGGTAACAGGGGCACAAATTACTTCAAACATTAACATTTATGATGAGAGATATGATAGTGAAGGAGCCCAAATGACTAGTTTAGATGTACAAGTGAGAACTCTAGACACCTAAAATTTGGTGAAATTAGTCCTACCTGTGGATATTAAGTTGAAGAACATCTTAAGATAATTTTTATTCTGACCTCAAACATGGAATTTGTTTTAATCCTATTGCTAAATGAGGAAGCATGAAGAATACATTGTCCTAGCATGATCATTCACCTCTCTCTTGGCAGTGAAATAACTAACAGTACTGGCAACATTCTCACTCAGCTTCAAAGTTAACATCTCTTTCAAATGAGCAGGAACTGCTTCAAGCCATTGTTTTAGGATGTCTTCAGGCTTGGTTTGATATCCCTGTGCAGGTCAAGTATTTCATATTGCATGCATTATCATAGGATCTAAGCACTTTGGAGTTCCTTCCCTTGTTTATGTAGATTTAATATCTTCCGGACCACCTTTGCAATCTCAAGATTGCAATCTCCAATTTTGTTTTCAACAAAAGTTTGAAGCATATGAGAAGCAAATGTTTTTCCAAATCAACCAGCTCAGATTGTTGTCTAGAAGCAGATTTTAGCTGGTTGCTCAGTGGCCACTCAGTTAACTTTTCAGGCTGCTAAAAGCTGAAAAATTAAAAAACTACTACCTCTGACATTACTACCTGGAATGAAAAACAACTGGGAATAGAAGTGGCACTAATCTTGC